GGGATCGCTAATTACGGATCCGCTGTCATAAATGTGAAATTTAAAATGGCGGATCCAGTATGGCCTCTGGTAAACTTCGAAATTTTATGTAGATTTCTTAGAAAAATTTTGAGTATGCAATATTTTTTTTTAATTCAATGAACTAAAAAAATTACATATATATATATATTTTTTTTTAAATATTAAAAGATAATAAATAAATAAAAATATTAAACAAAAAAATTTTGTTAAAACGATAGACACAAAAATTAAATTAGAAAAAAAGTAAACCAAAAAAAGAGGAAAATAAAAAAAAAAACACATTTTTATATTTAAAACAAAATCTAAAAACTAAAATATATTTAAATTAAAAAAGACAACAAATTAAGAAAGATAATAAAAATTAAGTGAAATAATAACTTACATTTTTCTTAAAAAAAAAATAAAATCTAAGAATTAAAGGAAAATGAAGTTAAAAATATATTTATTAAGAAAAAATTAGTACCTTAAAATGAAATTAAAAAAAAAAAATATTCTTCTTTTTAAAAGAATGACATAAAAATTAAAACAAAATTAAATTAATAAAGGCGAAATAAATTAAAGAAGAAAAAAATACATAAAATAAGTTTCCAAAAATTAAATGAAATAAAAAAAAAATATATACATATTTTTTTAAGCAATAACATCTATAAATGAAAAAAATAATAATATGTAATTAAAAAATAAAAAAAAATTACAAAAAAAAAACAAAAAAGTCCGTTTGCCGATGCTCCAATTCGGAACTCTCGAACGGCACGACTGTGCTATTCACTCGGCCATTGCAACTATTGGAGCGAAGCAAGCTAAATGATGTACAAGTGCTTTCTCCCAAAATAGCTTTTCATCACGAGTGGTGAATGAAAGAGCTTTTTTTCTAAGACTTTTTTTGCTAGAAGTCTCTCGAGCTATCTTGCCATCTGTCTTTCATTTGTCTTACTAAAAACTTTTTACTATCTTGGCCCGAATTGCCTTGTTAATCTACCGTCTCCGAGATTTTGTAGAAGCGCAAAGTATACGAATTGACACACTGTAGTAGTTCGAATTAGATCTTCCAGATGATATCTTTTAACCGGCTGGTTTTAACGAGCTTCTAAACTGTCAGTGGGAAAAGAAAACCGGCGTAGTTTTTTGATTTCGGTCCAAAACGACAAAAGTTTTATGCCAAATAAGGAGAGTTAAGCGAACCTTTCCTCGCGAAATAATGTGAAATTATTCGAAATGCACAAACAATATTTACCACTGAATTCTGTATTTACCCGAGAAGTACGCAGCTTTTATGCGTTTAGAGCGCTTTTTATTTGCGCAGTTGGATAAAAATCGAATAACAAATTCTCATTAGCTTTCTTCAAGTAATGTAAACAAGTGCATAAGTATAAAAAACCCAAATATATGTAGTTGAACTTACACTTCCTCTAGGTGCGTGTGCTAACTTTGAACTTGCACTTAATTTCAGACAAACGAAAAAAACAAAAATTTCATCAGGATGCGCATTTTATTGCTCTTGCACTTTTGGGCTTAGTCTCGTTGCCCTACGAGCAGTCGACGAGACAGCGGCAAGCACAACAACAGCTGCGGCGACGACAACAACGCGTGTGCCATGTACCAATCCCTGTTCCCACAACTATAATCCAGTTTGTGGCATGTACAATCAGTGTTGCCGTTGTGCGACTAAAGGGGCAATTTGACCCTTTTTAAGCGCCCCTTCCCTTTGACCCGACTTTTTGAAAATTTAATTTCTTGACCCTTTTCCAAAATTATGTGCGACTTTTTTTAGGAAATGTTAACCGAACCATGCTATTAAAAAATATTTTTCTTGTAAGTACGAAAAAATTCATAATTTAAAACTTTTAAAGGAAATGCAACTCTTCTCCTTTCAACAACTAAATTTATGTGTATGCTTGCAACCTTATTTTGTGCAAAGCTTGTCCAGCTATTTTCTTTTTAAATTCAACGGATTTATTCTTTTACTAGTAAAGAAAAGCTAAAATAATATGGTTACCCTTTTTTGGTCAATGACACTTGTTTTGCGACTTTCTGAAAATTCTCAACGGCAACACTGTGTACAATGGCAAAAAGCGTACTTTCGAAAATTGTTGCGTTTCGAGAGCGAATAGACGTTGCGCCCGCAGTAGGGGCACTTTTTGTAAGCATTCATGAGGTGTAAAAATTACTACGCAGATACATATATGAAGTAAAAATATATACGAATATATGTATATGAATAATTTCCTTTTTAGCACGCCTTGGCATACGTTTCCTGCATGCTGGCAGGTGCAATCAAAGAAATACCGCAGGAACAGCTACTGGAAATCGTGGCAGACGTGTCGTCGCCAGGCGTAGGCAATTAATGGATAAGATAATGAAGAGATCTCGCAAAAAGCGGAGAATTTTTAACAAACAATTTATGTGCAAAGAAGTGAACAAAAATAACATTTTAGTCAAACAAAAAAATTTTTTTTTTTTTCGAAAGTGGCGAAGTTAACTCGAATTCGGCTGTGGCAACTTAGGTATTACCTCAGGGGTGTCGGGTTCTGCTCGCCCATTTTTAACCTTTATTTAGCAAAACTTTCTCTTCGTGCCACGGAAGGCGTAAATAGTTGTTACCGTTTCTCACTACACAATGTAGTTTTATTATTATTATTATTACGTCGGGTATGCTCACACTGCGGCCTAAAAAGGTCTATTGTGCTAAACCCTAACTGTAGCGACTCCAACCTTAGGATATTTAAGAAATAAAGCACATTGGAGAATATGCTCTGCGGTGTCCTCCACCAGCTCACAAAACCCGCAGTCCGTCTCTACAGGAAGCCCCATTTCGTTTAAATGATACCTTAACTTGCAGTGCCTGTCAGGTAGCCTGTAAGACTCCTAACAGCATCCTGGCTAAGTTCAAGGAGTCTTTTTGAGTTCCTCCCGGAAGGAGTTATGAATTTCTTTGATTGTCTCAACTCCTAAGCAGTTCTGCGGTATATGCTTTAGATAGTCAGTCCGTTTGTTGCCTTTGAACCCTTCATGCCCAGGGACCCACCCTAGCGTCACGCTATTATGGGCTCCTAGAAGAGTTTACAACTGTACACAAGCCTTGATGTCATTCTAAATGAGTCTAAGGCCTTTAATGCTGCTGTCTAACTATCGGACATAATATTTATTGTGATCCCGATTGTGCTTCTCCTCAGACAATCTCTGCAGAATTTTCTGGAACTTGGTCCAAGCACGCCTGCCTCAGTACTCCCGTCGTCCATCTTCTATCCATCGGTATACCATACTTTTGGTGCTATAGCAGGCCTTCTTTTCAATCAGATTAGACAGAGAAGGAATGCTTGTAATTAAACCAAGGAAATCCGTTCGCCAGGTGCGCATACCTCCTGTGACGACCACGCAGATCAAGCTGTGTAGCTTGCTCAAGGTGTCACCCTCACTTACTTGCTTTGTTTTTGGCCACCCGGCCAGTGCCGCACATGTAACAACGGGTTTCACGACCTTATTGAAAGACCAGTAGGTTACGCTTGTAGCCTTGTTGGCAACATTCCAGCGATGTGAGTGCCAATTGAGTACAGAGTTACCTCTAGGAACTTCGCCTCTTCTGAGATCCCAATTTCTGCCCCTGCCAATGTGGGTCTAGTCAAGTTGACTTCCCTGCTTTTGGTAAATAGGACAACGGTGGAGTTCATTCACCTAAATCTGTTTACAATGTAGAACTCGATATACTCGATAACTGATATAAAAACGGTTTTAAGAAGGAGTTCGGGTTACCTTTGAGGAGGACGGTCCTTTCTACTGCCAAAATTCTCAAGCGTTTTCCGAATATAAGTGTTAGTGATTTCCTCAGGATTAGGCACATGGTCGTCTCGTTAGATACATAATTGGGCTGCTTTTACGGCTCCGGCGTTATCTACGACCAAATAATAGTGGGCTACGAAATGCAGAATCCTATTTTATATCGTCTACACCCACTTCTTGATAGATCTAATTTCGGCAACTGCTCATCGAAATATCTCTAGAAAAAAGACCGTCCAAGGGAAGGGAATCCTAATACCAACAAATCATTATTTAGAAGCAGCTGCGTCGATTATCTCGAGCGATCGGATCTTAAAAGTTGCAGAACGCTGAGCTCCAAAAAGAGCAAAAATCAACAGGGCCTGGAATGACCTTATACGAAAGTTAAATTTGTATGCGAAGCCTCAGATACATCGTCGCATTTCTTACTGCGCCCAAGCTTATTGCTTCACACACACCGGAAGGCTAGGTATCGCACACAGTGACTACGGCAGAAGTAGTTAAAATGAGCGCCCTCTGTTTAATTGTGCAGCTTTAATCAAGAACAGGAGGACGGTGTGTGTATAAATATCTGCGGGACTTGTCCAAATGTAACCCCTTAACAAAGTCCTCAATTTTATCTACCGGGCTAGTTAGTTATCTGAGGTCCATCGTATCAATCAATTGATTGAAATCTCGTCTCGTGAATATCTCATACCATTTTAGCAGCTCAAATTTCGCTCATTACCTGCATCACTAGCGAGCTCGAGCTCAGCTGTAAGACTTCAGAAACTTGGGACCGAATCCAACTTAACTGACTGATTTGCACTTTGCTTAGCAAACCAAAAAAGTTTGTTAGACATGTTCGAAACTAGCAAGAGCTTCAAGTGAAGCCTGCTTAGGTTGACTCTCCAGAGTTTCAGATACAACCACATATTTCTCAGAGAAGCTCAATCTGGTAGATTGAACTTTGAAAAACTATTTGAAGGTCATTTATCTACTCTCAGTAAATTGAACTTTTGAAGGCCGAACGTCGACTGTAGGCGCTACTCAATAAACATGCTTTCTTAATTCAAATAGTTAAAACCTTGCTTGTATTTGCTACACCTTTCCATCGTTATTAAAGCAAACAATACGTACACGCACTAAGCAACAATGTCACCTAGCCACCTACTCCAAGAACAACCGCAATTTGCACAGCTGCTGTCACACTTTTAGTTTCGGTGCGTTTGGAAAAAATGTCGTGTTTAACCTTCAAGTAAATAACTTATAAGGCACTGAATGCGGCGAACGATATATCACAATACGTAGTGTATTTAAGCGACTATTAACTATAAAATTTTAAGAAACTACATCCATTGTAATTCTATTAAGTGTAAATCAGGGAATAAAAAGATGTGTACAATCTACTCTATACTGATCCTTGCCGCCGTAAGTCTCCCAGCTCTCGTTACGGCCGAAGGCATTTCAGTCGAGCGGCAAGATGAAGCTGTGACACTACCTGTGCCCACTACACCGAAGCCACTATGCGAGGAAAAGATATGCCCACGCTTGTACTGGCCAGTATGTTCGCTAGTGGATGGACAGCAAATGACAGCGTCCTCACCTTGTGTGCTCAACAATAAGATCAGATGTTCGAAGTTGTTGCGACAGTCGATGGGAAGAAGTAAGTAAAGGATGGAATGGAAATGGAAGGGAAGGATGTGGAAGGCTAGAGGGTTTAGAAAAATCGGGAGAAATTTTGTGGGCTCCTAAGAATCTCCAATACACTATAAAGTTCTTAGAGAACAATTAAGTCCCTCGTAGCCTTCTGCTTCCTTCTAGCGGATTCTCTATTTAGTCCCTCTAACTCAAGTCAATGAATTTATAATCATGACAAGTTCTAACAAAAATTTTTCATATCTAGAAGTTCCAACAATTCGTTTCTTACACGCTGGTCCCTGCTCAGCCCAGAGAGATCGCAGCAACGTGGTGCGCATGAGGGATGCTGCCGACGTTGTAGGCAACGAGAAATCATCGAAAGAAGCCAGCTTCGAAGAAATCATTGATGAGATGATCGATGAAATTTTATATGGCGATAGCGGCGAAAGTGACGAATATGACGAAGAAATTGGAAGTGACGAATATGACGATGATATTGGAAGTGACGAAGATGACGAAGATATTGGAAGTGACGAAGATGACGAAGATATTGGAAGTGACGAATATGGAATTCTTAGCGGGGAAAACTTTGAAAGTGATGAGGATAGCGATGAGATCATTGATAGAATTCTTAGCGGAGAAAGCACTGAAAGTGACGAGGACAGGGACGAAATCATTGATGGAATTCTTGAAAGTGTTGAAAATAGTGGTGCCGCTACTGGCGAGGAAATAGATAATGACTATGATGAAGCTGAACCCGTTGAAGATAAGGGTGAAATATTACATCGGCGAAGGCAGGCAAAGATTGATAAAAGCTGGCTTTGAATCCAAAGTGAGCTGACATAGACTATCTGCCACTCTATTTGTTAAATTATTGTTATTTGTGAATTAAGCAATGTTAAGTTTGGTTAACGAGTTAAGATACCTTAGAAAAATACAGAAAATATCTCTAAAATTGATAATTATCTGCTTTGCCCTGTGCGAAAATTGGTAAATTCTTGGATGGTCGCAGTTGGTTTAGGAACTATAGTTTCAATTTATAGGTTTAGGAGGAAGATCGGGTTGAAGTTGGATCCCAATCCCATAGCTCTCTCAAGATCCTCAAAACAGGACATTCCATCCTTGCCTCACGAACCTTCCAAAAAAGTCATCTATGTACCTCTGAAATCTAAGGAAGTGTATTAAAAACAGACTTTTGTTACTGTCCTTTTCTTAGCAAAGAATTAAGCTCATCATTATCCTCTCAGTGATGGGAAATTTTAATTCAACTTAAAATTTCCTTTTACAACAATTACTTGATATATCGAAATGAACGAATAGAAATCGCGCTGGTCCTGAACTTGCACGCATTCCTCTTGTTACCTTAAGTTTTTTTTTCTACGCCGAATATCGGCGCTTCATTCGCTTGTGTAGTCTTCGATGCTTAGCCAAAGGCGCCAAATACTTGAAGGTGGTTTCGCAATCATTACACTTGAATGGCCGCTCATCTTGGTGGCTAGCTTTTGCGTGACGCCGAAAGTCCATAGTGCTGGTGAACTTCGAGCTGCAGTGCTCACAACGGAATCGATTTATATTGCGGCACTTGGAGCGGTGACGACGATAATTGATGATATCTCGAAACATCTCAGCGCAGTTGGGGCAGCGATGCTCGAAGAAGTGTTTGTTGAGATGAGCCGAGGACTTCCACTCCTTTTCTCCATCCTGACAAAGTGGACAGCCCGTATCCTTGCGATGTATGAAGAGCAAATGCCGCACCAGCTCATCGGCATTGTTGAAGGTCTCGCTACAGGGTGGACATTCAGTGGGCGGATGTGTCTTCAGCATGTGCGAAGCAAAAGACTTGGCGCGCTTGAATCTACGCAGACAGACAGTACAATCGTAGTCCGTATCACGGATATCATTGCTTTTGCTGCTGTGCCTATTGCGTGCCGGTGGCGTGCGACACTGATCGATGAAGGACATTCGTTGCCAAATGTGGCTGCGGTAAGGATTAGCATTTGGCTGTTGCAGGCGAACATAGTAGTTGCGCATGCGGCGTATAAGGGATTTGATTTTGTTGAGGCTCACGGAAGAAACCTGGCGCGCTTGGCAGTATTTCTTGAGCAACACATCGTAGGCAGCTGCTCTGAGTCTGCGGTTGCGATATGTGCGGGAGTCGCGTTGCCACAGACACTCCTGCTGGCGGTAGAGATCGATGAACTCCTCTAGGAATTTGTCACTATAGTCGGCGAGGTAGAGATTCGATTGCTGCGGCGGGAGAAAAGGGAAAGTATGATGTATTAAGCTGCAGGGAAGGCATTGAAAAAGCTGGAAAATCTACTGCCGAACTCTATTTTGAGGTTTATTTTAAAAATGTCGAAAATTTAACCGGAAATTGCTGCAGCGTCTGAGGCTGTGAAATTCCAACTTCTGGCTTGACTATATAGAAACATGTCAGATTTATTGGTAATATAATGTACACTTGCAGAGCGCGAATTATTCAGAATATAGCGACATATTGTCCACAAGCTGTCATAAGCTGTTTTCTTATCATCGACCTGGATGTACCTTGCGTTATAATCAAACCGAATCGGACATGTATCCCTACTAGAGTCAAGCCTTAAGCTATCTAAACCACTTACCTGCGAAGCCACACTTACATCGTCTGCGCCACTTTTACTTCGCGTGCGGCGACGTTGCCGGATCTGCAATGCGAAAACACAAACTTAAGGCATCTGCCTCTCGGTCAATCAGTCGGACTTACCCTCTTCAAACCCACCACCTTATTTTTCGAACGCACGCGTTGTCCATTCCGCCAGATGCCTCGTCTTCTACGGCGACTACGTCTCAAGGAAGAGGGCTCCGAGCCCGAGTACGACTGCTGTGTGACATCCGTACTATTTTCGAATGTCGAACGTGAAATATGACTACGCGAACGCTTGCGGCTCAATGTAAGCGTGGACTCAGTGGCCATGGTGTCAGCTGCACTGCAGCCACTGCGATCTTGTTTGTGCGCAGGCAGATGAGCGCTGACCATATGAGTCCACAGTGTCTCAGTATTGTGGAAGCCAATGTTGCAGAAGGAGCAAAGCTTGTCGGCGACGAGCTGTGGATTTTGGGAAGCGCTTCACATGAAAATGGAATTAGTAATTTGGAGTGCCCATACTCACTTCCTCCACATCGTTGTCATCACAGCCCCGCAAAAAGGCTAGTCTATCCATAATGATGCGCGATTTTATGGCATCTAGTTGGCGCTCCAGCTGCCAGTTGTCAGCGTCGTCGTCGTGTTGATCCACGTTTAGGCGCGCGCTGTGCGTTATGACATCACCTTCACTCAGCCGCTGCTTGCGCAGATAACCGCGTATTATTTGTCGCACAATGCTGCGCGCATCGCGAAAGGTGGCGAAGGGCAGATGCTCGCGCAGCCTCATCAGCACTAGCTGATAGGCGTGCAGTCGTTCGCTACGCGGCACGGAGGCGCGAGTTGGACGATGCCAGATGCAGAAACATTTATTTAGCAGCTCAATGACGTCTAGCATGCATTGCCGCTTGAGCGTGCGCAAGTCGAATTCGTTGTCAGTGTTTGTGGTGGACAAGTCGTTGGAGTGTGAAGAGCCGGTGAGGGTTGTGCTAAGGCAGCTGCCCGTGCTCAGGTGGGAAATCTGCAAAGGGGAGGCGAAAAGGTGGACAAAACGTAAGCGAGTGATTATGCAAAGCTTGGAGCAAACAACTTACACTGCCGCCTGCCGATATAAGCGTGTTTTCCGTTATGATCGAGAGCGCGCTCTGCGGAAAAAAGCAAAATTTCCTTACAATACAGTTATCTCTCCATATATTTACCACTCACACGTCGCACTGTGGGTCCATGCTCAGCATGACTATGGTTCAAAAAATCATCGAAGTGTGCGAATTTAGGCGAGGAAATGCATTTTTTGCAAACGACATTGTACGCACCGGATGTCGACGAATTGATGCTAACGTGCTGGTGGGCTCTAACTATGGATTCCATATGCTGGCTGAGTTTCAAAGTGTATAAAAATTGAAAATTTTCTCCGCGAGTTTGAGCTGACTGGTGTAGAATTGCGAATGTCAATGCACTCTTCTGTTGATTCGGAAATGTGGATGGTGATATTGGAATTTTAACGGACGTTTAATTTAGTGCTTTCACTTTTTAGTCTTGGATATCAAACGTTAATATTGGCGGATATTTGAACCGAATAATTAAAAAAAAAAATTGTTCGTAATTTTTTGCTCGCAATTGAAAGTAATTTAAAAATAAAACAAACTGTAAAGTTGAAGTGACAATACTGGGAGAAAAATGTTGAGTGAAGTGGCATTGCTGGGGCGACAAATGATTTCAGCGTTTAAGTTGGGTTGGTGCCTAGTGGTATGCAGATTAATATTAAAATTGTAGGAGAAAAATCCAAATAAAAATGTTTTCTATTCAAAAGGCATGAGTCAATTCAAGGCGAATTTATATAAGGTGGTGTTACTAGCTCAGCTGATTTTGTGTATGTGTTTCGCCGCACGGCTTCTGATATCAAATTGAAAAATTTTGTTTGAATTTCTACACACACTCTTACAGATTTTGACAGTTTATGCCGCCAAAGCAAAAACAAAATACATGTACATTTTTGTTTTTGTACTCCTGCTATCACCTTATATTAATTCGCCTTGAGTCAATTATTAAAGATTTTGTAAGGGATGTTTTTTGGAAGCAGGAGGAAAACGGAAAAAATTCCATCACCTTCAAAAAGTAGCGAAGTTCCATAAAAAGGTATTCATATTGGTGCATGGTAGTATTTAATAGAAATCAGCTTAGTTACATAGAATATAATGTCTGATAGTTTTAAATAATAATTTTTCCAAGGCGAATTTACTATAGTATAGGTGGTGTTACTAGCTCAGCTGATTTGGTGTATGTGTTTCGCCGCACGGCTTCTGATATCAAACTGAAAAATTTTGTTTGAATTTCTACACACACTCTTACAGATTTTGACAGTTTATGACGCCAAAGCAAAAACAAAATACATGTAAATTTTTATTTTTGTACTCCTGCTATCACCTTATATTAATTCGCCTTGAATTTTTCTTTTTTTTTTGCCTTGCAAATTTTTTGCGGTACCATTTACGGTTGATGGATATGAAGAAATAAATAAAAACATTTAGCGCTATATAGTGAATTGTTAAATAAAAAAGCTTTAAAGATACACAACTTAAAATCAGAGCACAGAAAAGGGAAAATTCCAAGCAGCAAAGAAAAAGTAACAAATGGAAGATGGAATGGAACGTAGACGAAACTAGAGATGGGGGAAAAGAAACACGCGACTTTCTACGTAAAACATCGTGCCACGCCTTATGTGCTTTATTGAAATTTTAATTAATCCATAAATCTGATTGAGGCCCAAGAACTCCAGTTCATGCCTATGGCTTGGCAACATGAAACGTCTGTTCAATACCAGCTGTCCGTGAGAATCTATTTAAAACTTAAAAATCGCCTTAAGCTTTTAATGCGTTAAAAGGAATGAAGACAGCAATTAAAATGTACTGGAACGAATTGAAAAGGGAACACAACACAATTCGAATGAAACGAGAAAAAAGGATAGCCGGACGAAATAAGTTGGGGATGAAACGAAATAAAAAGGAAATGAAACGGAAAATGGGAGCGGAACGCAATGGAACGAAGTGAAAATGTAAGACATAAAATTAGTATAAATGGAAAAGTATGAAACCTCTAAACTTTTGTTTCGATTTTGCCTTTGTTTACCCGTTTGGATGTGGCAAATAATTTTTTACCGAAAATAAAACCATAAAATTTTTGTTCAAATATTTTCATATTCAGCGTACTTTATTCCATGTTTTATGCATCTCTTTGCAAATTTATTACAATTATTTCTTTGTATGACTGTAAACATGTATGAATGTGTATCCAAGTTCATTTTTTATATGTTTTCTGTTGGGGCATTTATATAATTTTTCTGATTTGTTTTTATTTACATTGAACTTATACGAGTTTAACGGTATCTGTGGAGCATATGTATGCATGTAATACAAATTTTTATTTTACCTAACTCAAGTCTTTAGCTGCTACATGACAAAACAAGAAAACGAGCAAATTGCACAAGTATTTGAAATGCTTTAGGAAATACTTAACAAATATGTATCCTGTTTTGCTTTTAAATTTAACATTTCCATAGTTTATTGACTGATTAAAAATTTCCATAGTTTACTGACTGTTTAGTTTGTACAGTGCTCTTTTAGTACATACATACTTATTTTCTTTTTTTTTAAATTATTTATCTATACTAAATTTGTTTTTATACATTGGTGGGTTACATTTATTTTGAATGCATATGTTTCTTTACGCTCTTTGTTTTTCACTATTTCTCTGTTCATATGTAATCGTAAATGTATATGTATGTATGCTCTGTGTGTGTATGTGTATAGGTAAATTTATGAATGTGTAAAATTTTTCATAGACATTTTATAGACAATTTATTCATTTATTTATGTATATATTTTTTATAATTAGCATTTAACAGCACAAACATTTTGATGAGCTATTCTCCAGTTGAGTTGTGGTCACTGTTAGTCAACAAACCAAATTTATTTAAAATACAGTGCTTTGTACAGAAAATTGGATTATTAGCAGCAGTGCGCATATGGAATGAAATGAAAAATATAAAATTTCCCGACACTGAAACGAAATGCTCGGAAAATATGCCTAAATAAGGAAATGTAGTCGTTTAAAATAAGTAATAAAAATTTAAACGGAACGAAATGGAATTGGAACGCAAAAAGTTGAAATGGAACAGTGTTGCATGTTATTTTTAAATTCAAGCCAAGAAAGCTCTAAACATAAATGAATGTGAGAAGAAATAAAAAAAAGCCTAAATTCCTAATAAGCCTATGCCAAAATCTCATTTGGAACGAAGTGAGAAAAAGAGATATCATGATGTTGAATAAAATTATAGTTTAAAAAACTAGAACCTCCCTATTATAATTGCCATTCGTACTGTCATCAGGTATGTAACTTGAGAATAGAAATCGCTGCATCTTTTAGGCGCATCAATATTACATAGTTACATCCCGAGTTAATAAAAGGAAGGTAAAAAAATAGTGAATGGTGGAGGATTTTCATAGAAAACTAATCGAAAATCTTAAAAGCTACCTTATTTACCAAAAGAAAAATGAAATTGCAACGGGTTAAATTGGAATTCAATTAAAAGTAAAGAGAATTTGGAAAGAAATATTAGTTAAATGAAAACAGTTTTAAAAGTTGAATGTTTGTAACAAAGTGGTAATGAACTAAAGTCAGTGGCATAGAAATAGTATTATACATATGTAAATATACAAAACACATGGAAAAATGGATGCTTTGAGGGAAAATACTATCGTTAAGTTCACTTAATGCAGTCGTTGTTAAGTAGCTTAAAAATATTACACAAATTTGACCAAGAACCATTAAAGCTCGAGTGGAAAACAAATTGGTATCGAAGCTCACATTTTGGAATGAAGTGGAAACGAGACAAAATAAATTCATAATTTCGCTTTCTAAAGAAGCAAAATTGCTATTGGAAATAAAGATAATGAATGCAACAGAGCGAAATTGGAATGGAACAAAGTGGAACCCAACTGAAATGGAATGTAATGGAATTGAAACGGAATTAAGTGAAACTGAAATATAAAAAATGGAATTGGAACGAAATTAAATGAAAGTAAATGCAAAAAAATTTCGTGCACACTGCCGCCACTAACATTTACATAAATAAAATATTCTTCTTGATATACATACATACATACTGTACCTTTGGCTTTGGAATATAAATATTTGTACATATGTACATGCTTAAAGTTGTATACATTTACATATATACACACATGTATACATAAATATTTGATTGGTATTTTTTATTTGCATTTGTTGTTCAATAAATACTTATGCGAGTATTTATTAGGTTAATCTTACACGGCTGTAGTAAATTTCGAGCGTTTCGCTTTTATTTTGTTTGTCTAAATACTAAATGGTATCAAAATTTTGTTTGAATTTTTTCTTCCTTGTTAAATAAATATATAAATATGTAGGTATGCATTTAGTTTTATTTATTTTTATTTTTATAGTGTGACAGTATTGTACAATGCAAACATTTTTTTTTTTATTAACATATAAGGGATATTCTCTAAGACTTGCGAAACCCTAGGACGGTGTACGGATTTCACGATTAGCAAAGTTTTTCCTTAGGACTTAGAGAATACCCCTATGGCGTTTGTTTTTTTTTTGCGTTTTTAGGCGAATGAGTTTGGTTTTGGAAAAATATTTCTAAGCCATAATTTCTATTCCAAAGATTTGCCAATTTATAAATTTAGAGAAGCCGACTTTTGGTTTTAAGCTAAGTATTACACCAATACATTTCCAATTACCTTTTTTTCGCTGGAAATATACCCCATTCTTCAGCTGCTGCTTCAGTTTGTGTTCTCATTTTTTGTTGCTTTTACAATTTATAAATATTTTAGCTATTGTTAGTTGCCATAATTTTTAATATACATTTATGTTTATATACATTTAAGTTGTTTTTCCTAATATGTCTGTCTGCCATAAAGGTACGCCTTGTTACACTTTAAAATTTTTTAAATGTATTTCTTAGTTGCAAATTTTTTTTTAGAAAAATTAGCAGACAAAGTTTTATTGGTAAGTTTTTTTTACAACAATTACACACCTACACCTGTAAAACGCGGCTATATATATATTTATATGAAATATATGTACTTATATTAAATACATATGTATATACATACATATATACATAAGTAGTATATAAGGATATAAAGAACTTTATTGTATGATTGTTGTGTCAGTATGTACATACATGAATATCGTTTAATGTAAATATATGTATATAACCAGTATATGTAGGTATGTATGTGTATGTATGTTCACATAAACAAAGGTACATAATACATTTGCATGATAAGCAATATTTGTTAACACTTCACATACAAATTTTTCTAATTACAAGCTAATTTTACTTTTCACACTTGCTTACAACACAAAAAATGCGCGTTTTTTTAATATTATGTAAATTAAGATTTATTATATATAATTTTTACTAAACGATTAGAACATTTTTCTTAGCAATTTGCAATATTTTTTAAAAATATCTTTATAAATATTTTGTAATTTTCACGAATTACGAATTTTAATTTCGAAATTATGCAAACTTGTTTGAAGTAAACTTACAAATTTTTAGCGATAAACCGTTAAAATTAAAAAAAAAATATTGTATAAGTCTTTGTTTTTCAGTAAGCGTTTTAGGTTCATTTTTTGTTCTTCAGCATTTCAGCATTTCATTTCACTTTCTATTTTTCTCAGTGTAAGCCAGCCATAACTTGGCAAAAAGTCACACTCAGCGGCCTGAGAGCCACGAATTTACAAATTCTCAATAATTTTCCAGCATATTTTTTAATTTATGGGGCGAATGTGAGAGTTGAAGGGATGTTAGTTTCGATTTCGAATCACACAATTTAGCACATACATTGGCATGTTAGATATTAAAGCATACTTTCAGGTGGTTAAACAAATACCGCACGGTAATAACGTCACTTAGCATACAATTAGGCGGATACGAGTGTGGCTAGTTGCGAAAAATTGCATTGGTTAGGCATATTGGCTGATAAGACAAGCGAGGTCGCAGGAGGGAAGGGGGGCGTTAAAAATATGAGTTAAACTTGCTATCAGTTTATTAAAAGTGTTAAATATATGATAAAAGCAATAAATATGTATAAAATGAAAGTGAAACGATATGAAATTGGAACGGAACGATGTGGGATTTTTCATAAACTACTAAAAAATTATGGTGACATGCTACGCACTGTCATAAATGCGAATAGTTCCGTAAACTGTTACAATATCAAGGGAAACGGTGTGGAATTGGAACGTACAGTTTTAAGACTCACTAAAAAATAATTTAGAATTGCGATTAAATAGAGCCACTCATTAACACGTGATAAATTCAGTAACACCGACATATGGTGAAGTGAAACGATATCGAATTGAAATGGTACGAAGTGAAATTTTTGAAACAGAAAGAAACGAAATGGTAATGAAACTTAGTGCGAAATGGCAAGTACTTAAGTAAAATTTAAACGCAATGGAACAAAGTGAAATTTAAAAGAAATGAACTAGGTTTAGAAAAAAACTGGGAAGCGAAATGAATTTGATACTAAATTTAATAACACATGTAAAATATTTGCAAGTACCAGAAATGCATTCAATTTTATTTCAGAAGTAAGGAATACAAATGAAATCGAAGAAAGAGTCTTAAGTACAGGTGAGTTAAGGGGAAATGAATTAAGTGCAGTTTTCGTGAATTTCAGACAATTTAGATGATATCGGGATTGATTTTTCGTGGAACAAATGAAATTCAAGTTAAGCCAGAAGTGAAACCGAATGGTATTGAAACTAAAAATTCAAAACCTTCAAAATCAAGGAAATTATTTAAATGTAATAAGAATTAAGTGTGAAACAAAGTGCAAATGGTACGGAATGAACTGGAATTTATGTGAAATACTGAGCTTAAAAAGGTAAAGAAACACTTGGAACAAAGTGCGAATGATATAGAAAAGAAAGAGATTGCCAAAAGGGAAACACTGAAATTTAAATTTTTAAAATATAACAAATCATGGCAGTGGAACGCTTTGGAAATCATATTTCGTTTTTTTTTGCTTAAATTCCAAAATTTTGCGTATTTCAATATCACGTCAAAGATTGTAAGAATAGTAGAAGTTTTTAATAAACTCGAGTTACCTTGAAACAAATTGAGAAATGAAACACTTGAGCAAAAATGCCTAAAACTATCAAATTTTCGAATTAAAGTTTAAAGAGTCTATGAAATAAAGGCCACACCCGCCCACCAATTCTCCACGCCCATCTCTATGGCCAATATACCACACCATCGCAAAATTTTCTCCCGCTGCACTTAATGCCTGGGGCCGCTACTGCTACCGCCCCCGTCGCTGCTGCCCGAGGCGCCATCGGCCGCCCATCGCTTGCGGCGCACTTTCTGCATTTGTGCAGCAACACGACTCGTGCTCGGCGCCACCTCGAAACTGGCGTACATCTCCACCTCGTTGTCTAGGGCATCGTATGTTTCTGTGGACACCCCGCGCACGGATATCGCTATCGCGCGTGCGCCCAATCCTTCCTCGTCCTCATCATCACCATCACCGTCACGGTCGTCGTCGCTCCCTCGTCTTCTTCCGCCGCCCCCACCATCACCGCGATCAAAATCGAAACTAACATTCTTACTATCTCATCCACCCCGATGTACTTGTACCGTCGCCTCAGCTGATTCTTGGCTGCGCAACTGCTGTCGGTACTCGTCCAACTCCTGCATGCGATAAGTGCCCAGATTGACTTGCATCATGAGAGTCTCCATGATGCGCTCATTCTTCAGTGCTTTCGAAGGCAGCACCACCGTCAACAGCTCACTGGGCGATATGCGACACAAATTGAGATCGCGCGTCAATCGTTCCATAATACATTCGAACTCAAATTGTGTGTCCTTATTCGGGTGATTCTTCATTTTCGCCACCTTATTCTTTGCCCACATAAGCATCGCCTCGAATTTTCGTATCTCGGGCGTTTGCAGCTCTCGATTCATTATCATCTGTACCATCGATTCGGAGAGATTGAGGAACTCGGGACATTTGAAAAGCGCATGCGCTTTGTTCTCCACAAAGGAGAGTATCATGTTGACCAGCTCGGAGGCGGACGTGTAGCGCCAGTAGTAGTTCTCCAGCGAAATCAGCATCGGGCAGACAACCTCGATGCGCAGGAACTGTTTGCAATGATGGAAGCAAGCCTGCAGAAGCTCTGGTAGATCGTAGTGTTCGGCAGCGCAGAGCAGACCTGCAAGGAAAATTTAGATGAGAGTAGTTTAGACGAAACCTTACCTCAACCGACAAACCACGCTTTGCTCACCTGGTATGGAGACACATGTCAGCGGACAAGTGCCGGTATGCAGATAGTCCAGTAGCACCCGAAACGTGTCCGGATCGAACTCGATAATGTTGAATTCAGTCTGTGCCAGCTTCGCGCGATCCACCTTCTGAGCGTCAGCGCACACGGAGAGTCGCGGCACCGCAAGTTGATTATTACCCGGTTTGTCCTTGTCTTTGTCTTTGCTGTCACGATCTGCAGAGATGAAAGAAGAAGAGCAGCGACGAAAAAAGAAAAAAAAACAAAGAAAAGCGAGTACGAAACGAAAGACGAAATGAAGTCGAAAAGTGGAGCAATAAAAAAAACGGAAGGGCAGTGGTAAGTGTTTAAATAAAAAGGGAAATTATAGAGAATATATAAACCAGGTGAGTGATAAATGGTGGCGCATGTTGATACAGTGTAAGTGAGTAACGGCATCGAGGGTGAAAGAGAAAAAGAAAAAGTGAATGGAATGCAAATATATGCATGGAGGTGAATTATTGTTAGTTTTTTGTGATATTTTTTGTTTAAGTTCAAAAAAGTAAAGACAGACAGATTTACGTACAAATTACAACATGAATGGTGAGAGGTGAACATGTAAAAACGACGGATAAAATAGTGAACAATGACGTGAAATACAAAATAAAGCGAGTGATATATGAGGTAATAAGATACGAGTGGTTAAATAAGCAAAAAAATTTGTGGTAAGTATAAAATGTGGTACGTTTATTGAGATATGTTTTAGTGAGAAATAGACAAAGGAAATGTTATTTGACGTATTTCATAGCGTGGTGAGTATAAAGTATGGTGAATATTTTTAGTGAAGATTTGCAAATTTTTTAAACGTTTAGGTGGTGTGTTAAATAAGTGATGAGTTTGGGTTTTAGTATCGGAAAATTTTTGGTGTGGTGAGGTTTTTTTCGCGTGAATAATTTCGTAAGCGTTTAATTTTAAAGATTATGTGAAGCGTAAGTATTTGCCCAAATAAATTTACTCAACAAAGTGTGGTGAGTATGAAAAATTAAGATATAATGAGTAGCACACGATTTTAATTAAATAAAATTATATATTTATAAATAAAAAGGAGTGGTGAATTTTGAGATAAAAAATTTAAGAGCAATTGTTAAAAGTTTTTTCAATAAAATTTTGTTTGATATTTGGTTGAAAGATTTTGAAGCATACATTTTTATTTGTTAAATTTCGAAAGTCCAATTTATAGCAAAATTTTATTCGAAAATGTGTGGTATATTTGGTGGTGTAGTTGTTCGTAATTTGATTTTGCAAAGCAGCCGATTGTATAAAGAAGAAATTATGAAGAAAAAATTGGTTTTCAAAGTGTGGTGAATTTATTTTTAAAGTTATGGGGAAATTAAAAGTTATATATGTTGTTTTGAATGTGTGGTGAATTTGTTTAAACCGAATATCAAATTTGTTGTTTGCAAAAAACAGTTTTTTTGCGTACGACGATATACAAATTTGGAGAATTTTATTTTGTGGATAATTTTTTATGATACGATGAAGTTAATAAAATTATTTTGAAAATGTGGTGAATTTTGTGGCAATCATATTTAAACAAGATATTCAGATTTTGATTATTTTAACAGTTTTTATGCGAGTGGAGAAAATAAATTGGAATATGTGTGGTGAGTAAAATGAGTATGTATTTATTTAATGTTAAAATGGTGATGAATATGCGCAAATAAAATTATGCAATAATAAAAAGTCATGATGAGATTTGCATACAAACATCAAATATATTTATGAAAAGATAATTTTTACGGTGTGGTGAAGTTTAAAATATATAGACAAAAAGTGAAAACATACATTGTGGCAAATGCATAATGCAGAATATTTTTTGTGAATAGAATTTTGTTAAAAAAAGCATTCGTGATGACGTAAAAATAGGGGGAAAAATATTTTAGTGGTGAATAAAGCAAGCCAATAAAAGAGGAAAATGGATACGGCATTCAAGTTTGAAAAATGAGACATAATTTCATTAATTTAAAATTAAAATCACACCACATATTTTTTTTTTTTAAAGAATGTGTTGCGTCAGGTGTGGTAAATTGAGTTATATATTTAAACAAGCATTAGATTATATATATTATATTTGAAAAAAAAGTTCACAAAACACGCGTTCCAAGGTATTGAAGGCACCAGCACACAATTAAACCAACGAACGTTCAAGGTGTAGATATATGTATATTTTACACGGCAGACAGGGAGAACATGTACAGAGCGAAAGAGAAAGGAATATAAAAAAGAAAAAAAAACACACATCGATATATTTGTATTAGTGTGGATTGAGACTCTTACTGGAACAATCCGTTGAAGATATCCATTTCTTTTTGTCCTCAGGATTCAGTTGATTCGTATTTTTGTTCCGTATCGAGCGACCCCAACCGGCGGTGATTGTGCCCAAGCGGCTAAAGGCGCGTTTCACCATCGGCGAAGAGGGTACACTCTTTGGTCGTATCGAATCGGAATCGGGCACGGTGAGATAGTTGTTGCTTTTGGGCTTTTGGTTTTGTGGTGAAACCAGTGATGGTGCTGGACGCGCAAAAATCTCAGCGACAGGAATCTGCGGTGAACCGAAGCCGGTCTGAATGCCGTATAGCATTTCCTGTGTGCAAAAGCAAGTAAGTGCTAGTGCTCAAAAAGAGTTGAGAGGAAAAGAAATATGTAGCAACATTTACTCACCTGAAATACGCGACTGCGCACGCCCAATATCGCGCGTACGCCTATGAAACGCGCCTTCTGCTTCGATTGTCCCACTAAGAAGACGACATCGAAGAGGTGCGCATGTTGCAGGCACGATGGTTCTTCGTTTAGGAATACACGCGTAAAGTCCTTCGCCAACTGATCGTAGTCCTCGAATTGATCGCGTACCGAGTCGAGTAGTGGCGATGAGGGACGCATGTGACCTGTAAGGGAGTAGGGTGAGCAAATGAAAGACAAAGTGGAAAATTAGTAGATTCTTGAAGACAGCGAATAGTATTAGGATGAGTGGGAGTCTAGAAGAGAGTAGAACGCTAAAGGGTTCAACAAAACACCAACGGAGAGGGTAGGAAAGTGGATGCTAAATTTGAATTGGAACTCAAACGGATGAAAATTAATTACCTTAGACGGTTTCAGATAGCTTTTTAGGAAAATTTTATGTGCAGTTATAAAAGGATTGTGAGGGTACAAGTTTTAAGGTTAAACAGAATTATGGTTCTCCAATTTTGGGAAATAATTTTGCTATTTTTTTCTAACTCATTCACACCGAAAAATTATTAGTTGCTGTGATAAGCTCCAAGCATCGCATGCGGGTCATTGAAAAGGTTCAAGTTCAACTAATCTTCAAAACAAAAAAAAACAAAAAACCAAAGACTTTTCAATCCTCAATTTGGTGGTGAACATTTTCTACAAAACTAAAGAGAAAAAATTTTCTTATCTAAAAGATATGCTCCTTTAAAATAAAAGATTCATTCTGACCTTAAAACGATTTTCGAAAAATGCGCGAAAAAAATAAACCTTTTAAAAGTACGTAAAAGTCTCAAATGCAAAAACTTTCCAAAAGTCGAAAATTTTTAAAGAATTTTTTATTTTTTAGAACAATTATAACTTAAACATGTTTGTAAAGTTTTTATAGACTTATATTCAACAATTTTATTGGGATTGCTGCCGTTTGTTAGAGGCAATCTTAAAACATACCAGAAAAATAAAATATATAAAAATAAAAATGTATTTTCTCCAAAAAACTGGCAAAAATTAAAAAAAAATACGATTTTTTCCATAGTCTCAAATTAAAAAATTTCAACAGTCAACCATTTTTGAAGAATTAAAATAAGAAATAAATAAAAAATAAATATATAATATATATATATATATAATAAAAATAAAGAAATAAAAACTAAGAATTAAAAAAAAGAAGAAAAATGAAAATTTTTTAACTTTAAAATTTTCACAAAAATTTCAAATTCCGCTTCTTACAACATTTTCAAAAGCAATAACAACAAGCAAGTAATTTTTAAGCAAAAAACAAAACGGAATTCAATTCGCATATAAAAATTTAAGATTTTCTTTAATTTCTTCATAATGCGATGATCGGATTTAAATCAAATTAGTATGGGACCATCTGTGAGGTAACTTCTTTCCTCTAAAAAAATTATAGAAATCGGTAAACATGGTCCAAAAACGTGGTAAAAAAACGGTTAAAATATATATACATATGTATGTAAATTCTTGCAAAAAAATTCCAAGAACTAAAAAAAGTTACCTATTTAGCAATTTTAAATTATTATAATTTGTTTATTTAAAAATCGTTTTCTTCTAAAACAATTTAAAAAATCAAAAATTATAATACTATCACACAAATTTTTATTGCAAGGCTTCCATTGCGACTTCTCAAAGGGTTTTACAGTGGTAAATATGATCTACATACATAAGAAATTTTGGCAAGCGTTAAATAAACTAGCCTCAAAAAGAGCGAAAGGTACAAGAAGTGATGAAAAATTAATAAAATGTGAAAGTAGGTAAAAATATAATATAATTTTTATTGCTAAAATACTACACAGGGTGATCCAAAACTGCGTACAAATACTTGGCTTAAGTATTCCTTGGACGCAAAAAAAAAAAAAAAGGGGGACATTTTTTCTCGCCAAGGTTTATTTACTGACTAACGGCCAGTTAAAGATAAATCGATTACAGCATTGAAATCATTAATTTTTTGCAAATTTTGAGCAAAAATCTTTACGTACGAAGAATTTAAATCGTAATTTTGAGCCAAATGTTAAATAACCTTTAATTCGATAAGTTGAAGAATTCTGAAGCTTCAAAAATTAAAATATGTATTTAATCTATAAATTTTATAATGAAAACTTCAAATATCAAAGTATTTAAAAACCCTAAAAAAGTATCTGCAAAGTATTTCGCATAGCAAAAATTTTGAGTTTTTTTAATTATGGAAAATTCAAAAAAATTTAAACTTTTAAAATCTGAAAAAGGGAAAAATTTGGTTTAATCAGCAAAAAAATTTTCGCAAAGCCTTTTAAAAATCTAAATTTTAGTTATTTTGAAAATAAAAAAAAAATTGGAAAATGTTCGTAACTTCTTCAGATCACTACTCACAAGTATCCCCACCATGCAAAACATGAAAAATAGGCAACAATCGTCAATGGCAACAAATTGGCGACTCACCGATTTATTGCTGTGGTGACAAATCGGCAACACCACTTCGTTCATGTCAATTTTGAATAAAAAAAGTTCTCAAAAATTCGGAAACTTATGAATATGGCGTCAATAGCATTGGCCAAAAGCATTTAAATTATGTCCAAGGACAAGATTGAAAAAATAGGAAGTCTCACAGCGAGAAAATTAATTAATTCCGATTGTAAGTTGCAATTTGGTATACAAAAAAATAAATGAAGTATTAAGAAGAATAAAATTATTCCAAATATCGCCTAAAGCGATAAGAAAAGGACTCATTCAGGTAATAAGAAAACGACTCACCCAGGCGAGTTGCCTTCGGCGGACGTTTTAGAGCGACCGGTAATAGGAAATCGATTCGATGGCAATATTACCGGCAATAAATTTGTTTCCGAGGGCGACACGTTTTCTTATTGCCGGCAACACAAATTGTTTGGTGGGTCCTTTCATATTAAATTTTTATCGAATCATAGTTCTTTGCACTTACACTACGTAAAATACATACATGTATGTATATATGCATAAAATTAAAAAAAAAAAAATGGAATATTGAAGAATTTTGAAAGTTTTGGGAATGGTATAAATACAAGATCACATTATTACCTAATTATTTTAGCGATTTTGTGCAAAGCTCCATTAATTTTTTTTTAATTTTGCAATTTTTTGTATATGGAGACTAAACATATTTTTATGTTTTATAAGAAAAATACTTAGTTTAAATATTTTCAAATGCAAGTAATTAAAATGCTAAACTTAAATAACTTCAAAAAAAAAAATAAAATTATACAAAATTTAGAAAAGTTAAAAAAAAAATTGCAAACATTTTCATTTCAAAAACTTACTAAATATATTTTATATAAATTATGTGTTTAATTTATGCGATGATTACAGAACTTGCCGAAACTTGGGAAAATTTTTATTGTGGAGTAAAAATCTTCACGATAACTACATCGCAACAATTACGAAATATAATACCCCAAGCAAAATCAAGGATAAACATGTCACGCACACAATTATCCACTGTATCCACCTACATATAAGCGGACTCCTTGTCAAAAAAGTGGTGATGCAACCAAAACTACATATAATAAATATGTATTATGTAGCAGTAAAGCGGTTGACAAAAGCAGGTGATTTAGGTAGCTAGGTGGGTAGCTCGGGATTTGGGCTTCGAAAACAGCTTAAATAACAAAACAATGCCAAAGTAGTGTAAGTGATACGCGCAGCAGACAGTGCACGTGACAGTAGTGGAAAACGACATGCATACATACGTATTCATACATACCCTGCAAAAAAAAAACGAACAATTGATAAAAAAATAACCCACTTGTTAGCTTTCTTTTGGATTTCGATAAAATTTATAACTTTTTGTTCACCACAAAAAGCTAACTTGAAACTAGTTGAAAAGTAATGCAGTAAGTAATATAATACGAATTTTAGTTTGAATGCACTTTTTTCTGCACTTCACAAATACTTTTTCGAATTCAGAACAATTGAAATGAAAATTGAAATTGTATATTATCATTTTGAGGTTATGTCTGCCGGAATTCGAATATGGGAATGTGTAAACAAATATGTAGTGTCAGATAAAGTAAATAAATAAACAAGTAAAAAAAATAAAAAGTAAAATATTGCTTTTTCTTAGTTATATTTTATGCCCAAAAGTATTTAGACTATTTCGCGGCCATCGCCATAGAAATGTAGTTAGCTTTCCTCAAACAAAATATACAGATAATTGTAACAGTTAGTGCCTTTCTACACAACTTCAAGTTAACTTATAGTCGGATACATTTCCTACAGGATATCTGTTTGTACATATGTATGTATGCGTGTACCCAGTAATCGTTGCTGAAAGTATCGAACGCGCCTGAGAGTATGCATGCGTGCTTGCTTCAAATATATTTGTATTAAATTAAATAAATAAGGGTGATAACAGTTTGTAGAAGTTTTTGCAGAAAGTGTTTTTGCTTTTTTTTTTGTTCGGGGGGCACTCAAGCAAATGAGCGTATAAATAAGTGTATAACATGGATGTGTAGACACACAAGCTCCAACGTACTATGTATGTACATAGGTTCGTTATACCTTAATATAAAAAGTTATTGGCTAAAATGCCAAACTGTTGATATTTACACAACTGCTTTTGCATTCGGCCGTCGTAACGCTATCAGACCTAATCACATACGCCTGCATTTTAGCTCTTAGCAGCTGCGTTATAAGTATGTGGGACATTTACTCGTAGTGCTATCGAAGTATGTAGAAAGCATGTTCACAATTAAATCGTAAAATTCTGAAGCAAAAAGTATTCACTTTATTCCACTACATTTCGCACGCTGTACTCCAACATTTCCCTTCAAACATTTATTCACTTTTCAAGCGCTTCATCACCATTTTCTACATACACTTGAATTTTATGTAGTGCAATCTATGCTTTGATGTCACTCGTTAAATCCTTGAAAAGTCTATACACACATTCGCTAGCCCTCCTAATCTCCATCTGTCTCTCGCGCCTACTCTTTTTCGTTGCGGTTGCTCGCTTGTTGCCCAAGAAATGCCACAAGCTTTAGTGACCTACTCAGTGCTCATTTAGCTATTCAAAGATTCTTACGGCATTCTGCATACATATTCAAATACCTTTCACATACATATATTTACTAAGCCATAGGTTGCGCAGTTTGGGGGGAGAAAGAGTTAATTGTCTTGCTATTCTCATATTGTCTGAGTACCATTCGATTTG